CAGCTGATTGGCGCCGCAAGCCTGGGAGGCGAGAGAAGAGGAGCAGCGACGGTGTGCTCGGGGAGGAGGCGGAGCAGAGGTGAACTGGGTCGAGGAGCTGCTGCATGGCTCCCCGGGCTGGGGGGAGCTGCCGCGGGGGGGAGGGGGAGGGGCGTCTCAGGGCGCGGGGGGGAGCTGTTGTGGGGGGAGCGCCTCAGGGAGGAGGGGGGGTGGAGAACTGCCGTGGGGTGGGGCAGAAAGCTGCCACAGGGCTCGGGGGGGGCCGCAAGGTGGAAGTTTCGCCTAGGGCGTGAAACATCCTCGCACCCGCCCTGCCTTGAAGATCCTCAAAATGAACGACTCTATATGTGCAAAGTAGTAGTAGTAATCATATTGTTGCTATACTATACCACAGCTCACACTTGATATATACCTCAATAATTAAAGATGCAAACCAAAAGCTATTCTCTCCAGATTTCTAGTCTTTTAGGTTCATAATCAGAGCTAAATCTTTTCCCAAAGGAAAGGTGCAGCAGGGACCTCTAGACAGCTCTGTGTTAATTAACTATCAGCCCAAACTTATTAGCAATACCTCTCATCTGTCACTCATTTTACTCCCAAAGTTACCCACCTTAAACACACATTAGTGTCCCCTCACTTTTATATCAGAAAAAAAGAATAATTAAGTGGAGGTTATTGAAAGAATCATTTACACCAAACAGATGAATCCCAAAGCATTAAGTCTCCTCAATGGAAGACTGTGGCCCTGATTTTGGATCTTTGTCATACACTGCACCCCATATTTAGGCCTTGGCAGGTTGAGAAGTAGTAATAGTTTGCCTTTACAGGGCACCTTCCATCCTTGGATGCTTTACAAACACCATGAAGCTTAACTAACACCCTTGAGAGGTAGTAAATGGTACTATACCCATTATATAGATGGTCTATACCCATTATACAGATGGTCAGACTGAAGTAAGGACACCTGCCTAAAGTCATATTCACTTGTCAATGGCAAAATCAGAAACAGAATTCAGGAATCCAAGCTCTCAATCCCTTTCTCTAATTATTAGACAACAATGCCTCCAAGAACATCTATTTTGCTAATGGCATTTAGCAATAACCTTCCAGCTTTCCCCCCCTCTATTTAGTGCTTAATATATAATTTAAATGCTACATTAATGCTACATTCAATGCTCATCTCTCATAACATGATATACATGAGTATATCCAGAATATATATAGTATATCCAGAATATAAGCTCCAGAATAAATTTCACATGATTTTTACTAAGATAATTTTCTTATTAAATACTTTGCTGGAAAGTTTCAATCTGCTATGTAGCAATTATTTGAAAAACGCAGATAGCAATTATTTTACAGTTCCAGGAGGAAGGGGCGGGAGCTTGCACAAATTCCATGTTTATTAATATAGATTCTCTCCAAGGATATGTTGCAAAACCCAACGTCTACTCTGAATATGGCAGTAGACTCAAGAAATTTAACCATATGTTTAATTGTAGGCACATACCTAGTCCAATGATTTCTAAGCCACATTTTCATAGCAAATCTTTGAATGATGGCTAATAATACATTGAGTACAGTTAATTCTTTGACAACAAATGTATTCTGAAGTTCTGCCTTTTCCTCTCTACTCAATATGGAGGAAGCAATCCAGGAGATAGTTGACAGAGATAACAGAACATGAAAAACAACAAAATCATGCTACACTTTTCAGTATCTTAGGGCTTAGCCTTCCGCACGTACATAACAACCTGATATCCAAGAAGAAACAGAGATATTGCATAGTCTATTTCGTAAAGAATCCTGCCAACGTTTGGCAGGATTTCACACATCAGGACAGCTCAACACACTGTGGGGTTCTCTGCTTTCAACAGCACCAATTGCTCACAGGTATCATCACTTTGCACATGCTCAGCCTTGGAAAATTCTACTCATCCCTGACCCATCTATGGTGGGTGAGTAGATTTTGTGCCAGGGCAGGTAAGCTTCCCTAACAAATATACAAATCTGCACTTGTGGATGATTGCAATATGCATGCCAGGTAGTTTGGGGCTAGCTCTACCCCTTTTACCAGCACAGCCACCTCTCCTCAGGCCGTGTGGCAAGAAAATTCTTACACATTAGCCATGTTCCTATATATTTCATACCCTGGTATTACTGTGTCCCATTGATTATCATCATTCTACCAAGTTTCTGTGACGCCTATTATATCAATATTCTCATTTAATACCGGACACTCATGTTCACCCATCTTAGCATTTAGATTTGTTTATATTTGTATACTAGCCTTATAAAATTTGTCAATATTTAGCTGTATGCCTTCATGTGATGAAACTGAATGGGACTCTTTTCATTTGACTGTTTCTCTCAGCTCCTACCTGTACTGTATCAACTTCTACCCTCTCTTCTTTACTAGAATAGAGCATGCTCTTTAATAAATCTTCCCCTGAGGGATGTGTCTATCCGAACCATGTTGACTTTTCCCCAGCTTAGTTTAAAAACTCCTCTACGACCTTCTTAATTTTACATGCCCGCAATCTGGTTCCATTTTGGTTTAGGTGGAGCCCATTCTTCCTGTATAGGTTCCTCCTCTCCCAAAAGGTTCCCCAGTTCCTAATGCTCTGAACACCATTGTCTCATCCACACAGAGACCCAGCAGTTCTGCCTATCTAACTGGCCCTGCTGTGAAACTGGAAGCATTTCCAAGAATGCTCCCATGAAGATGCTGGACTTTAATCTCTTACCTAGCAAACCACATGGAGCTCATTTCAGGATGGGAGCCTAAAATTTCAAACACAGGGACATTATACATGAACAAAGCTAAGCAAAAAAATGTTGCTGAGCATTTGGACAGTGGGTGGGTACATAATAGGAAGATTTTAGTACCAGTGGGTAGGTTGGTTTCATGCCAGAGAGGCCTAGGTA